ATTTGGTTTTAATCTTATAAACCCAATGAGAACCAATAGCATGTTTACTTGAAAACAATGCAACCAAGTCCCAAGTGTCCGTATTATGTAGAGTAGAGAGTTCATCAGCCATAGCCTGTTGCTAAAGAGGATCTAGAATAACTTCTTTATACGAAGAGGGTTCAGATAGCTTGTGAATGGAGGTTAGAAGACAACAAAAGGACTCTGAATAACAAGAATAAGCAAAATCAGGTAACTGGGTGGACTTATGAATATGCTAAGGATATTGAGGAAGAGAGGGAGCAGTGGCTGGATCATCGATCTCAGATGATGCTTGGGTGGCCACAGAAGGAGAAAGGGATACCATGGGCAGGCGCATGTGTACCCGTAGGACATGAAGAATCAACAGTATATGGAGTATGGGAAGATGGTTTGTCAATGTATCAAATAATGGATTAATACAAATAAGATCAGTTTTAATCACGTCATGAGTATTATCAGAGATAGAAAAGATGGAATGTGTTCAAGAAATACAACATGACGAGAAACATATAACTTTTTATTAATGGGATCAAAGTAGCTATAACCCTTTTGCCTTTGCCCATAACCCAAGAAAACACATATAGAAGAGCGAGATGTCAACTTACTAGTTCAACCTCAGGACGAAGAACAAAGCAAGTACAGCCAAAGACTCTTAATGAGGAGTAATCACGAGGATGCCCATATAATGTTTCAAAGGGTGATAAACCTAAAGTGTGAGAAGATGAAATATTATTAATTAAAGAAACAACAGTGAGAACTGCTTCTTTCCAAAATTCACTAGGGACTTTGGCATACAAAAGAAGGGAACGAGCAGTTTCTACAATGTGCCTATGCTTTCGTTCAGCCATACCATTTTGTTGTGGGGTATTAGTACACGAGGTTTGATGAATTGTGCCATCAAGAGAAAGCAATTCAGAGAAATCCAACAATAACAACTATAATCATCAATAAAAGATATATAATATCTAGATCTCCCTTTTATAGCAATATGAGCAGGTCCCCATACATCAAAGTGAACAAGATCAAATGGTGCAACGAAATAAGAAACACTTTGAGGAAAATGTAAAGCAGAAAATTTACCTAATTTACAATTACTACAATAAAAAATGTCATGAGTTTGTAAATCTCCCAATTGACCCTTAGAAACTAAAAAATTCAAACGACTGGCGGAAACATGTCCAAGGCGAGAATGCCACAAATAAAAACTAGAAAACGATGAATTCTAACAAAAAGATGACAAGTCAACACTGGAAGTTGCAACGTGTGGTGGTCTCAGATTGTCTAAAACATATAACCCTCATTATCTACGGCTTATCCCAATCAGCTTTTGAAATCAAGGATCCTGTACATGACAAGCAGTAGAAGAAAATTGAACTAAGTATCCAGAATCACACAATTGACCAATAGAAATAGGATTCGAAGTAAGAGCTGGAACACAATAGACAACTGAAAGCGATAAATTATGTGTGTTAACAGAACCAACACCTGCTAAAGGCAATGGTGAGCCATCTGCAGTCATAACAGACATAGACGAGTTAGAAGGACACAAGTCATTAAAAGTTTTTGAGTTAGACGACATGTGTTTGGAAGCACCTGAGTCAAAGATCTATGAGGAAGAAATACCTGAATGACTCTGAGATGACAAACCTATATGAGTAGAGGCTGACATAGCATGTGGTTGTGTGGCTAAGAACTTTTGAAATTGCTCTGCTAAATCGGTCAACATGGGATTGGAGGAAGGTAGTACTCCAAGTACAGACAAGTCAGTAGGTGGCATGGTGGCAGCTATGTTAGCATTGGAACGATAAGATCGCTGCAGTGGTTGTGGATGTTGTTTCTTCAATAGTTTAGGATATTGAGACTTCCAATGTCCCTTTTATTTGTAAAAGTTACACTCATCACTAGCAACTCTCACATAACCTTTGTTTTGATTCTGTGTATACAGTCGAGAGGGTACAACTAACACTAAGGTGCTAAATGGAGGAAGAGATACTTCTCCTGCAAGAGATTTTAAACGTGTTTCCTCAACTAGAAGTTCACTAACTACCGAATCAACTGAGGGAATTGGAGTGCGATGTAAAATAGAGCATCTAAGTCCCTTAAAATCACTGTGAAGTGCCATAAGAAACTGAACTAATTGTGGCTCCTCTCTAAAAGTAATATATTATTCACATGCCTTTAGTCCTGCTGAATCCGTAAGAACCAATTCACCCTAAATTGAATTCATAGTAGTGTAAAACTCGAGAATACTCAAATTCTTCTGTTGTAAAGCCCGTATATCAATCTCCAACTGATACCGCTTTGCAAAGTTAGATTTAGTGTATAACTTCTGAAAATGTTCCCAAACTTCCTTTGATGTTTCAAATTTTGCCGACTGTGTACCAATTGATTGCTCAACAGAATTATGAATCCAAATAAGATTTTTCGCATGATTTGATTCCCAATTATCCAACTTCGTCACATAATTCTCAGCAGTATTTTTGGGTTTCACAACAGTTCCACTAACATAATCCCACAATCTTTTCCCTTTAGAAAATTTCTCATCGTGATACTCCAATATGAGTAATTTTTACCATTTAATCAACACTAATGGGTTGAAGTGAATCATCTATTTCAGTTGTCATCACAAAGTTAACAAATAGTGAACTATGAATCAACGAAATCACCCAATTCTAAGGAAAACCAACGACAACCAACGTACCACCACAAATTACAATGATGAATTATTGCACAAAAGTCCAGAATTAATGTGTTTTTCCAATTTTTTGCCGCTTTTTTTTTTTAAATTTCCACAATTCTGTCTGTCTGTCTCTCATTTCTGCTGCTGTGTGTTTTTCAATCAACCACCAAGTTCCACAATTCTGTCGATCTCTCCCCCTTTTCTGCTGCTGTGTGTTTTTTCAATCAACCACCAAGTTTTGTTGTCCAATTGGGAGTCTAATTGGTTTTGACTTTCATTCCCTTTTCAATTGCATTGATGCCAAATTTCTTTTTCACCCAAAATCTTTCCTCTCAGCCCAGAATCGAAATCAAATCAGAAAGCTCTGCTACACAACTGACATAAGCAAAACCAGAAGAAATCAAAGACCCAGCTATGAATCCCTGAAGTAGGCTCTGATACCATGTGAATAATACTAACTAATTTGATAAATCAAACAAGAGAGAACTAAGAGAGAGAGGAAGAGAACCGATTGTGACAGCCACTAAAATTAGGGCAAAATAAATTACAATTTTATATATTACAAACTTTAGTAAACAAAAAAGGAAACTAAATATTATACAATAATATTATATCTAATTATATCTAACAGATCTGATATTACCATGAACAAAACATGCTTGGGACGTAATTTATCATGGTATACGAATCTTCACCCATCCTTTAGACAACCTATATATAATCAACCCAATGCGAAAAACCCATTTTTACGCTTGAATTGAAAATATAAGCAATAACAAGATCTTCATAAACAAAACTTGAAGCATCACATTTCATATGTACAAGTCATAATTTATGCAGAAAATTCATTTGCACCATCTAAATTTCCATAATATGAACTAGAAGTCTGAATCAATATTAACCTAAGGCTATACAAACTATTGCAAGTGCTAAAGGGAGAATTTATAATTATTTTTGAAGGCACAACATAAATTTGTAAAACTGCATAGGAATCTCCTTGTCCCATGAGGCATCCGATAGTTTTTAACCTACTTTCAGCAAGACATTTTGAACCCATTGTTGTGTAGCAGTTTCTCAGCGTTCAATCTTAGCAAAACGCCCCTTGATTCTTGTTCGACTCTCTGCGCGTACTTTCCTCGACTCATATCTGATGTGCTTATCAAACCTGTTATTTCACAAGCTAAACTGTGTTAGTCTAAGAACACGAAGGCAAACCGTTATTCCCAACTCCAACCAACAGAAAATGCAGAACAATGAATTCTTTATGAAAACCTAAAGCCATTAGTTCCTCCAAAAATTTGGGACGAAAATCATGGAAAGTATTGAGGAGAACCGAAGGAAGCCAAGAAAGGATACAGAAGAATTGAATTGAAAGCATATGTTAAGTTATACAAAAACTCAGAAACTAAAGCAGGAGTACAACAAACCACACGAGTGTCCAGGCATTAAGGACAAGGACTCAAGAATTTTTCTAAATGCTGAAAAGAAATTAGATGCTATTATCGGAGATAGTTGATTGAAAATTAAAACGTTAAGTAAAAGAATTTATTAACCGAAACAATATTAATAATATCTCATTCTTTCTCAGAATTAGGGAAAGTGAACAAATCGCCGAAAAATGATGAAAATTGGAACTTTTGGACCATGTATAGAATGTGCAACTTGTTATACATTAAATTAACGAGCTAAACGGTGAAACTTCATGAGAAAGTAATTATGAAACGATCTTAGACTTGAACGAAGGTTTATAATCATTTTTTAATTCAAGGATTATAGACAGCGACAGCTATTTCTATGTTAAGAAGACTTATGGAGCAATGCATAGAGAATAAGTAACATTTTGTAGGTTTCATTATTTAAAAGGACGTATGAATTACGAATTACTAGTGCACAAGTTCAGATTACAGTACTCTAACAAACTCATGGAAAATACACTGATTATTCACATGCAGAATAGGACTAAGTGAAAGAAAAATAAGAAACATTACCTCCTAGTTTTCCTTTTTTCTTTGTACCGTGAGATAGCAAAATCTCTTTCCTGGCTGTTCAGTTCACGTGCTGCCACTTTAGGAATTGCTTCCAAGGGTTTAGAATTAACAGGAACACGTGATTGTCCTTCTTGGCATCCATTTGATTGAAACGGACTGTCACCAACATCTAAATCTTTATCAGGTACTAAATGGTTCGTGTCGATGTAGCTACCTAATAAGGTAGAAGAAAAGTCTTGATCTGCAACCTCACCACTATCACCGCACAGTAGAAACTGCAAGAAGAGAACGTGATCACTTATTTTCTTGTTTTCTTTCACCCTTTTAATATCTCAAACTGTTCAAAAATTCACATTTTTGAACAAAGGAAAAGTCTCACTATACAAAGAGAGAGAGAGATCCAAGATCCAATTTGAAAACGTGCTTTCTAATTTTAACCATTTCATCGACTCCATCCTCCATATACTCAATATTTACTTGGGAAATTATAATAATTCATGTCTTTAAAGATTGGAATTCAAATTTCAGGGATTAAGTTTTATTATTCAAAAATCAGGTAATATAAAAACCCTAACCCTAATTTATCATTCTCACCCTCACATTTCTCTCTCTCTCGCCTCCTCTCCCCTCCCCTTCCCCTTTCCTCCGCCCCCCTTCTCTCTCATTCCCCCACCATATCTGCCTCTCCCCTCTCTGTCGGACAGCAACGTCGCTGCAACGCTGCTAACGACGCTACCATTCGCGCAGCAGCGTGCAACGCTGCCACGAACTGAGCAGCATCGCGACACTGTCGTTCGGGCAGCAACAGCCGCGAAGCTGCTGCGGTTCGAGGGTTCTGGTCGACGCTGCTGTGGTTTAAGGATTCGGGTATGGAGTGATGTTGGTGGGTATGGATGCGATGGTGGGTTTGGCTGGCGTTATGTTGGTGGCGGGTTTGGTTGGTCGTGATATTGGTCCAAGTGGACTCAATTTGTCCAAGAATCAACTGAAGGAGATGCTGCAGATGTAAGGAATAGGCTCAATGTGGTGAATATTCTCGAAGAGAGAGGCCTCATGGGGTATTCGTGGGGTGGCGAATTGGTGGTTGGTGGCGGATCTATTGATGGTGGTGGCGGATCTGTTGTTGCGTGTGTTCTGTGGCTGTGGGTGTGGTGGTTTGTGGCTGCTGCGACCTGTGACCAAGCGACGGTAGTCTGTGACCTAAAAATTTAATAATACGTGACTAAAAAATAATCTGTGACCTCGAAATAATCTGGGATCAAAAAATTTGACGATATGTGACCAGTAAATAAATCTGTGACTTATAATTATGAATATGTGACCAGTAATCACAAACTGTGACTTTATTATCTTTATTTAATAAATATTTTTAATTAATTAAATCCATATCTGATTTTTGAATTTTCAAACTATTTTACCTTACTTTTGAATTGAGATAAAGAAAATACCTTAGATATGAATTTTTCCCAAGTTACTTTCAATAATAAGTAACTTCTTTACTAAAGTAAGAGAAGGTAACATATCCAAACATGTTTGTAAACAAAAAGTTACTTCACACTTCAAAGTAACTTTTCACCATAGTCCTACATGCTCTTACTAAACATGTATTAACGACAACAGAAAAATGAAAATAGGAATTCAAGGGGAAAATAATAATCAAATATCAATCAAGCGTTTCGGATGATTTACCTCGTGAAAAGGACCTGTTGCTGGATCTATATCATGTTCAAGGTTTCGACTGCTATCCTTTAACTGGAAGTTTCCACCAGGTACTTGTGGTTCCAGCTCAAAATGGGGTTTAATATCTTCCACGAAATCGTCGAAGTTAGGTTCTGTTTTTGCCATTTCACGAAGTTGGCAAACTATTTCTTGCCTGTGTTCTCCACATGCAGCATTTCGGTTCTGATTCAATAACATGTCACAAAGTAAGTCAAAAATCCATGAAAGGCTCATGTTAATTAAGCACACAACATCAGTTAGTTGCAAACATATGACTGGAACATATCCAGATATATAGACAGCCAGTTTAGGATGCAATAAATCTTAATATACATGTATCCATTATTAAACAGTTGAATTCTAATGCAAACCTGGCACAATGCAAAACACAGCACTGAGCTCAAAGAGAAGAACTGCAAGGGCTCGAAAGCTAATCAACTAGTCAAAGACAAAAAGAATACAGCCCAAATTAACAGATCCAGTAAGTAAAGAAAAATTATATACAAAGATTCAACTTTTTAAGGCCATGTTTAAAAGCGGCGCCATTTTAATCGTTTTTCTCACCAACGTGTCCCCATATGCTGCCGAGAAAAGGCTATAAAAAAGCTGCTTTTAAGTATGTACAAACATCTTCAACGTGGTAAGACAAACCCCAATTAAAGTCCAAGAATCAAACAAAAGAACTAGTACAAGCACTAAAATCTAACAATTCATAGCATCAAATAAGAAAAATTAAAAACCCAACCTTCATAGTCAAGAATATCTACAAACAAAAGGATAACCTTTTTCGCGAAAAACGAACAAACCTTAGGTAAAGGAGGAACACCAAAAGCCTGAAAACTATGCCCAGCATCAACACAATTGTCACTCGAAACAATCAAATCATCAAGACTCACAATCGAAGGAGTCTCCCAAATAAAAAAATCTGAAAACAACCGTTCATTTCCACCTTCATTCCCATCACCCAACAAATTTTTCTTCCCCAAATCTTCAAACCCCAATATACTCATCAACTCACTCACTGATGGGCACCCAATAAACCCCTCAATTGGACGACGATCATGGATTAACCTCAAATTATCATGCTTCTCCCAGTCACAGTTCTGACAGAGCACCAAGGATTCAGTACAACAGTATATAGAAACAGGCGAAGAATCGCATTTGTCGCAAAGGAGACAACGTGTGTGTTTCTTGAACAACGGGTTTGTCGAGTGCACTTCCCTGTCGCAACTCAAACAGAGCTTAGCGGAATCAGCTCTGCAGTACAAAAGGGCCTTGGTTTCTCCGCAGAAGTCGCACGTGCGATCTTTAGTATCAGCAACAGTACTATTTTCTTGCTCTTTTATAAAACTCATGGTTGATTTTGTGGGATATTTCTTGGTATGAAATTGCGGCGAGTGATCAAAGTTCAGTGTGTCTATTTGGAAGAGAAATGGCAGAGGTTTAGAGGAGAAGGACAAACCTTATCGCTTTTTTCATGTGTGTTAGATACATGTAAGAAGAAGGCCAATTGGAAACTAAACTCCTGTTTCAACCCCCACGTTATTTCTTTTAAAATTTATTTTCAATAGTACGTTTTTCAATAATATTTTACATCACGTCTATAACTTTTACTTACTTTTTAATCAAATATTTCACATCATATCACTATTTAAAATACTATTTTCCTCAATAATATCCATCAAAGACACTCTAAAGTATTTCCGTAACGTTGTTCACAACTGGACATTCGTGTATGTATTTAATTTTTCGTTTCATGACATTTAGGTCCTAAATCTTTAATTTATGTAACATTTGAGTCCTATTAAGAAACAATTAGATCTAATATTTCACATCACATGCAAAAGACAAAAGGGAAAAAGAAAAATAATCGGCTTCTTCTTCCTACTTTAATTACCCTTGACATCAACGGGCTGTATTGTATTGGCTTGATGTCAAGTGTCAACGACTGCTTTCACGTGAATATAGCATCGCTCAACGTCACGCGTGACAACATAACTTTAAGTCTAGTCTCTCCATAGAATTAGTTTACAAGAGTTTTGAACAGTTCTGGATGCTATAAAATTGAATGTTGAAAACCTATAAAGAAAATTATCACACGGAATATGTATGAATTTTATAAAAAGTATGGACATGTTATTGGAGAAGTATTCTTTCTCTCGAAAAGCTTGATTTTCAGCCAAAAAATTATAAGAATTGAAAAATAACATTACAAAACATGACTTAGCATGCATGTAGAAGGTAATGAAATTGAAAAAAATGAAGAGACGAAATTAAACGTACATTTAGGGTCCGTTTGATAGGTAAATGTGGAAAGAAATTTCAATTCCATGTTAGTTGGAAAATAAAAATCCACCAAAACCATATGAATTCGTTTTTCATAAAAATGAAAAAAATGTAACTTAAAGTGGTAGTAACTTGGAATTTGATTTCCATGAAATTCGTTGCACTCAAACAGAGACTTAATTTACTTGAGGATCAAGGAAAAGTCGTATATTGTCAAGAAAATTCCACGTGTTAGGTGGAAAGTACTTTTTCTGTATTTATTATATGAAATACATATCTTTCTCTCCAAGCAATTCATTGACTATCATTGTCAGGCGTAGTAGAACGTTTTATGCCAAATTCGAAGTTGATTTGAAAATTTCTATTTTCTTTATCTTTAAAGTGTTCATGTCATTAAACGTGACAAATTTTCTCTATTGAATTTCTTGTGGGCCACGAAACAGATAATCCAAATTGTAAATATCGACGAAAAATTGATTAATAGAAGCTCTTCGTCTATCGTAAGAGCTGAGCTCTCCCACTGTGTAAAGAGAGAGACCTTCAAAATTCTCATTTTCAGCTGCTCAAATACCTTTTTAATGCAAAGACAAGATGCTTTATGTGACAGAGGACCCAAAAGGGAGATATCATAATATTTGATTTCAGCTCTTCTAATAGCTTCATGTGTGAACACATTTATGTAATACAACCCCCAAACTTGCTTCAACGGATAAAAATCACGTGCAGCAAGTAAGTTCTGTTTTGACATAAATATCCTAGCCCAAAGATTAAAAATTAAACGCTGAATAGGGTCGTTTCGTTTATTTAATAAAAATGCTTCTTCTAGTTAGAAGAGTTTTTAGAGGAAGCTGATCGTGCGACTTTGTCTAAAAGCTCTTCCGGAAGAAAAAGCGATTATGGGATGATCTTCAGACAGGTATTGGTTCTGTTTGAATCATTGATGATTCTCCCCATTGGATATCACACGGGTGTTGTAAGAATTGCAGTGCCCGCACTTGTGGCCAAAAATGTGAAAAAATGCTTTTCCAGTAGTGTTGCAATCATTACAGAGTATAAGAACCTGTGAAGTACACATAAAAATGTCACTCGAAAGAAAATTAGATCGTTAAAGAAGACACGGCAATATCAATGGATGGAAAATTTTAGACACTAAAAATGACCAGTGAGAGGGAACAAGCGCAACTAAAAAATAGAATTAAAGCTATCATCAAAATTCTCGAATTGCAGAACTAAATTAACTGGGATAAAGTAATGCCAATATATTGATGTGGGGAAATACACAAATAATTGTGGATAACAAACTTACTTCATAGTGGTATTCCTCAGGCATTGCAGTTGCCTCAATCTATCAAGAAAAGATTTTACGAATTTAGTATTGCAGTATCATGCATATATTCAGAATTGGAAGGAGAGAACAGAGAAAACTCTGGACATAATATATGTTCAGATAGCTTGAGAATGCCGGTGCTTAATGACCGGATAGATAGTAAGAACAGTGAGCGACAAACAAGATTTTCTGGTGTACATTGAGATACTTGAGCCCAACAATTAAGGATGCCTAGTACCACGATCTCACTACATACTACTGGATTGTTTCTTTTAATTTATGACCTGTTTGACACAAACGTGCTGACAATGTCCAAGTTTGCTACAGTAATTACATCTTCGTTCAACATCTTTGGTTAAAATTTGAGAAATCCCAGGAAGTCCAACGGCTTACCAGAGCAAGGGGAAAGAGTTCAGGTTGAAATATATTTAAACTACTTCTACCTATAACGCACATAGAAATAGTGTTTATTCAGGACAGCAAGGAAATAGTACTTTCCACAGCTCAAGATCTTTGTATTGATAACAATCACAGGACCCAAATGTTTTAGTGGAAAACACAAGCGTGGCAAGTTTGTTTTCGAAATAAAATACAAGACCCCCAAATATGTTACCATTTCAGAGCCTAAATTTGTTGAGGGAAAGAATGTTCTGAGAGCCTGAACTTGAGTTTTGAGGAACATCATGTTGAAAACATGAATCTCTTTATCAGAATTCACAAATTATCTTGTAATTTTCACGAATTTTTATACAAACAATCAGGAAATGTAAAATTCTAGCTGATCATTTAACTCACAGAGGGATTTAAAAGATGCGAATCATTTCACATAAACAATGCATGTAAAGTAAAGACAAGCTGAGCTATGTTTCAACTCAGTGAGGTCAGGCAAAGCTTTGGGAAAGCAATGAGCATCATGTCTGGAGATCAAAGATTTTGGCCACTTTTTCCTATAATGGTCCCACTGATAACATAATGAAGACTAGGGAAAAAGGTCATTTTTGGATTTCAAGGAAGAAAACCTTAAGGAGTCCAATCACAGTAAATGGCATCATACCTCCTGATCTAGTCTTTCCCAGGTTCTGGACATATTGAGCACAGACTTGGAGCATATTGGACAGCGGTACCTATACCGTAAGTCAAGCATATGATCCACATGTTATTTGAAAAAAAAAAAAAAAATTACAAATCCAGCTGCTTTACTGATTCAAGAAAAAAAGGAGGAAGAAGTTGGACTTTACTGGTCTTGGTTAAGCATATCGGTGTAACAGTCTGTGTGCATTGTGTGTCCACACTTTATAATTGTTGTGCCTTTGATTGAGTCAAAAAGAAACTGCATGCAGGGGAAAAAATCATTCACTCTATAGGAAAATGAATACTTCAAGCTCAAAATTACATTCCAGACTCAAACCTCGTAACAGATGGGGCAGTGGTTCTTCATCGAGTTCTCTACACACAGGTGATTACCACGCAGACCCACTGAATAGCACGATCCTGTTACCGCATAGGGAGTACCCATGAGGATTCAATATTTAAGAGCCTCCAGACAAACTGACACTTAGAATATGGTAATTGACACAACGACAGGTCAGGGATCCCAATGTAGGGATAGCAAAACATTCAGGATGCATATCGGTTAATTTCAATCTATTCTTAAGACATTAGGAATTAAAGGGGGGCACATGAACAGTGTAGGGAACAATAGATTTGCATACATATTTTAACTGTAAATTACATACACATTTACCTATAAAATGTATGACGCTATCTCAATACGACTTACTGAACTTTACATTGTTGTTAGCTTTATATGTCAAAACTTGTGTTAAGTTATAACTATAAATATACTGTTCTTCATCTAGCTTCCATGGCAAATCCTACACAGATGATCGATCAAAGAAAAAAATAACCATGAAGATTTTCAAGGCAAATCATGAAGGTCGCTCATTCAAAAATTTCACCTGGAAACCATGTACGCACATAATTACTACAATATTAGATGACAGATATAAAAATAAAACAACCGTACACAAGGTTATGCATCATGAGAAACAAACCAAGAACATGAAAGTTAAACTACCTACCACATTTTTGGCAGTGAAAGAAGTTTTCACGACCTCCAACTCTGTGAATCACAATTTATATCAGAACAATTATTCATTCTATAGAATATCAAAATAAAAAGCAGCCCGATCGTTAGCTCTTTTACCTACAAATCCCGCAGTCATTACAGTGAAACTGCTCTTTGGAGGTCTACAACATAAACATACCACTAATGTCATTAAACGAGCTGCATACATTAAGTAGAGATGTTATCTTATTTTTCAATTCTGAAAATAGTGGTTAGAGATTTTTAATTAATCTTTTGTATTGAAACAAGATTATTGGATCACCATTTTTACTAAAAAAGGAATAAGAATATCATTACATCATCATCATAGAATTTGCAAGTGTTGCAGAAGTATTCGCCAAATTTGACACCGCAATTTGAACAGATATTAGAAACCTACACATAAATGGAGAATGAACCAGAAAATGTCAACAGAACCATAAAACCTAGTGCTTAATATGACACAAAAAAATGAAGTTTGAATAAGCAGCTATTACCTGTTGTTCCGTATCACATACTGCACAAATAACCTAAAGCAAAGACCAAATTTTTATCAAGATCAGGCTCAGCATAACTTAAAACTAAACACTAACACTACAAAACCAGAATGAAGAAAAGATGTATAAACTTACTCGCTTAACCTCATGCCGGACAAGCTCATGACGTTCATTTGGATTGCTCAAAGCACTCTATTAGAAAAAAAGAAAAAAAATAATTCAAAAATATAAATCTTAATATTCACTTGAACGATAATCTTGTGGTGAATTGAAGAAAAAAAAATTAATGAAGGTTATGGAACCGTGGCTTCGTTGTGACAATGGCGGCAAGTGAAAATCTGGTTGCAACAAGGAGCTCGCAGTTTACACCTTCTCCTATAATGGTCGCACCTATTCCACCCACAAATTAAAGAGTGCAGAGAATCATGATTATGTCGAGTTACCAAATTAAACGAAAAAAGAAAAATAGTAAAAAGGAGAGAAAAAACTCAACCCATTAAGCAATTTTCCGAAATCTTCTTTGGAAATACTATTAATGCTATTGCCACCACCATTTTCGGCTTCTTTTAGTTTCGGGTCAATGGCGGCGACGTCGTGCTCCTCCATTAATGGTCGTCAATAGCTGGTGGCTCTGCAGAATAAGATTTGATTATATGCAGTAACCACCAGGCAAAAACAAATAAAAATCAATCAACTTCACGTTCACCAGGACGAGGGTTTGATCGAAACTTTGAGGGCGGCTATAGAGAGTTAATTGTTTGTTACTCAACTTTGCAAAAGTGTCACGTTTCACTTACTAAATTTTACGATGCACATCACCACTCATTGAACTTAATAAAATTGCACTTCATCACTCATTGGGCTGATTCTGTTTACACCGCTTGCAGACGTGGACGACGGCGTTGACATTTGGCCGTTAAATGACTCCAACTTTACAGTGATCAGTCATGTCATCCCAATCACTCACTGAACTTAGTAATACTGCACTCCACTGGGCTAATTCCGTTTGCAGACGTGGATAACGACGTTGACATGTGGCTATTAAATGACTCCATCTCAACAAGGTTCAAGTGAAGTCATATACGCCTCAATACACATGTAGTAGGGATCATTACAATCATTATTGTAACTACATTTTCATAGTCAATCAGTACATTTAGCAATTCAAGGCAAATCTAGAGTGGAAAACGAACAGTATGCAGGCTACAATAAAGGAGGACTTGAAGATAAATATTATTAGAAATGTNGTCAACACCGTCATCCACGTTTGCAAATGGTGTAAACGAAATTAGCCCAGTGAGTGGTAGAGTACAATTTTACTAAATTCAGTGAGTGATTGGGTGCAATGTAAAGTTAAGTGAGTGAAACGTGATACTTTGTAAAGTTCAGTGACCATTGAAGAGACGTGTTTGGGGATGACATGGCCGATCACTGTCGAGTTGGAGTCATTTAACAGCCAAATGTCAACACCGTTGTCTACGTTTGCAAACGGTGTAGACGGAATTAGCCCAGTGAGTGATGAAGTGTAATTTTACTAAGTTCATTAGTTCAGTGAGTGATGGTGTGTAACGTAAAGTTCAGTGAGTGAAATGTGACACTTTGTAAAGTTTAGTGACTGTTGAAACAATTAACTCGGCTCTAGATGGCGGGTTTAGTGCTGTTTCATTAAGTCCAGTGCTTTCTGATTTGAACTAAAAACGCAGTCATATAATCGCGATATATTATCCACTGGATAAGAATTTTAATTGTAGATAATTGGAGGAAAGAGCACAGAAGAGTCCTATTTTGCGGAAGGGACCAACCGGATTTTACACCAAACTGATGCAAAATCAATCATTGTCTCGAGCGTTCTTTCCCTTTAACCATTTTTTTGAATTACAAAAATCTTAAATTTAATTTGGTAATAATTAAAGTACCCTATCTTGTTTTAAAACTATACTCATTTTTGAGCGTCTAATAACCAACTATTCCCAATTCTTGATCTTTCTACCGTAGGATACAATTGTTTATCCGTCGAAATGGTCGACTTTGTCATCAAGTTGGATTGCTCGATCCTCGAGCATTTCCTTTGCTAATGTGTCTATTCACATCTCATTATCAGGCACGACGAACACATTGAACTGTTCATGTGACTAATAGCTCTTAACAATCCAAACACAACAACACATTTATCAGGAATGTGCTCTCCCACAGAACTAATAGCCTATTGTGCAAGCCCCCACAGAGGGCCAGCTATGCCTAAAAATACGGCACGAAGTTTAGTTTCGACATGCATGATAAATAATTAACAAAAAATAAATCTGACGTCAAGTTATCCTGTTTCTTGATGCTAATCAGAAACTTTATACAGTACAGTTGAAAAAAGTCCCCTTACACCATGAACTCAAATGGTGGATTCCACAAAGCTATATTAGCAGAAGTAGAAGTGATTATAAAGAATAAACACATCTATGGAATCATTGATCCTAATCAGAAATCACATACAATGCAGTAAAATTTTCCTTCTCTCACGTGCTTTCTCGAAAAAAATCCTTGTACCATTGCTCAAAGGGCGGATCCCACAGAGAGACTAGCAAAAGTAGAAACGATTATAAAGAACAAAGGCGCCTTCGAAATCATTGATGCTAACCAGAAATTTCACACTGTGCAGTAAAACCACAACGGTAAAAGGGAGACCTAGACTAAACCACATCGTGTATTCTATAGGATGGTGCATCCACATGTGATCTTGTTTTGCTCTTCTTCACGCTTTTTACCTGCATTGAACCCCGAAAACAAGGACAACAATAAAGGCACAAAGTGTGAGGGCTATAAAAGAAAAGAATTCACTTGCATTCTGAAGAATAGACAACCATGCAGAAAATTAGAAAGCAGAAAAGAAGTTGTAAGTGTCAACGAACACAGTAACAGAACAATTCAAACCGGTATATCAAGATGATTAAACAATGAAACTGCATCAATTTTCCACAAGTAAATGGTTTCCTACATCTACTAGAATTTAAAGCTTCCTATTTCATAGTTCATAATGTTAACCAAACAGGACTATGATGGTGTAGAGATGGATAGATCCAATTGAATTGGTTGACCTAGAAATTGGCTAGGTGATCAGTCAGTCACCAGTCCGAGTTAGTTCAAAAAATTTGTAATAGACCAACATTTTTATGAGCAATAGAAGAACTAAAGTGAACATTCCAATCTAGAAAATTAATGTTTTTACATAATGTCTATAGTATGTGCAAGCACTACTCCAATGGAATGGCATATCAAACTTCTCAAAGCCGAGATATTTATAGTGTTTAGTTACTTTCGAATAACTTTTGTTTCAAACATGTTTGAGTAACTTACATTTTTCTTAAAGGTACTTATTTTGAAAGAACACTTACACTAATAATAAGTAACTTTATTTATTTTCAACTTTTATCAATTAAAATATTATTATATTTTTTTTTATAAAGTTAACATTTTAAACTTTAGCCAAATCATCCCATTGCTGTTTTTCTCTTTTCTTTCTGCTGGGACAGGGTGAGGGTGGAGGTAGAGGGTTGTTAAAAGTTGGATGAATAATGATGCATTGTTCCACTTAAAATGTCGTTACCAAGAAAGCAACAACTATGAATCACCTTTTTTTCTTTTAGCAAGAGGGGGCTGTACAACCACATGCATAGTAATAAATCCTCCAGGAAGGTCACCAACAAGAATTCTGGACTCAGCAAGTGTCTTCCCATTCTCCAAAACTGTTCCAGCATGTATTAGTTTCATATCATTCACTGACTTCGGTACAACTGATTTATCTGTAATGCAGATGCCTAATCAGGATTTCATATAAAAGTCGGGAACACAATCTAAATAAAATTAAAAACAATCATATAAATATGTTTTTATCTACTCCCCTTTATCCAATTTTCAATAGAAGCTCTTGTAAATTTAACTTTATGTACCTCAGAAAATATTGTCCAAAGCATACTAATTACTAGTACCGCCAAAGCCTCAAAGATTTAAAAAATTCATTTCGTTATACTCATCTATTTATAAGTAATAGTGAAAAAAAATCTTAAAAAATAAGTCAGAATCCCCGGAAGTGAAACATTATCACAATGGAAGCCTAATAAAGATTTAAGTTCAACCTTGAGGCCACTCAGAAAAAAGCCTCTGCTTAAGAGTAGCAACAGTCATTGATAATGAGTAGGTTCCATGACCTATATCCGTCCCATCAAAGATTCTGAACTTAAGTTCAACGCCCTCGTTTCCTTCAGCCATAATAGCCCTTCTCTATTATATTTGTAATCCAAAACAACGACAAAGTTTCGAGTTAAAGAATACGATTTGCCACAATTCACCTGCCATTAATCCCAGACAAATAAATAATCATATATATCTTATGTGAATTAAGATGATTAATTTTAGGAGTAGCTAAAATGAACAAAAAAATCTTGAAAGCAAAATACAAGCCTTATTTCAAAATCAAATGGATAACCGACTTTCACGAACCTCAGTCAATCCACAAAAAATTTCAATAAAATGCAACAGCCACTGTACATTTGAATCACCTCTCAGAGTATCGACTAACCACTTCATATGAACCAATCTCTTCTCTCAAAACCTCTCAGAAGCCCCTGCATTAAATCCCAATAAAATGGGCTACATAAATTTCTGAATTACTATCTACAAAAAAAGAAAAAAAATGATATTCTCAAACAATATTTCGTTCAATTGAAAACCTGATAAAACATCACTCAGAAATCAATCAATCTAGTCCTACACAAACATTTTCCATTCAAGAAAGACCAAACACAATAAGAACTGAACTTAAATTCTCAATTATTAGCTACAAATATAAAAAAAGGAAAGAAATTCTCAAACACTATACAGAAAAATCTAAAAACCTACAACACCACTCCAAAACAATTTACAATCAAGAAAAGATCAAAACCCCAGTCCGGAGTGTCTCCCCAAAACTAAAATAAGTCAAAAATCTTGAACCTCTAAACAGAGAATACGAACCACTGGCTTCAGCAATAAAATACTTGGACTTTCGACTAAAGGGGGAAATTATTACTTCTCAAAATTACATAAAAAGAACTATCAAAAGAATTAAATATTAAAATAACAAGAAAAAAATAGAGACAAAAACAGTAGACTAGAGTTTGCCTGATCAAGACTCCATTTGACGAAAATGGGTAATGTTCAGAGTAACGATTCGGGTCGGTTGAGAGATATAACGCCGCCGGAAAACTGAACAATCGGCGAGAATATGAATTTTGGTAAAGTTGATTTTGGTGTTGTTTGACTCGGTTAGATTATCGGTTTCCGTCAGTTTCACTCCCTGCTGATGCTATTATAGTTATTTGTCACTTTGTCCCTTCAATTTTTGAGATTTTGGCATTTTGACCCTCAAATTATTAAAAGGGTATATAATAAATCATTAATTTTTGACCCCTTTTCTTCTTTTCTTTCTTTCTATTTTAAAGTCTATTTTGACCTTTCCGAAGTTAATGTTCGTACAAATATGACATGTCCAAACTACAAAGAAAAAAGCCCCTCGTATAGAGAACCGCCAGGGGCAGTTACATAGGTTGATTTGAGTGTCTTTTTTTTAAACTTTCAATAAAAATCTGTCAAAGTGTTCATCTGTATAAAAACTTGACAAATATTTCCAACAATACAGGAAGATTGAATAACAAAAAGGGAAATTCCATTGGTATAGCGTCATTTGGCCTTGTACACTACCAGTCCCATTGGGACCTGGGAGATTCCAAGTAATGCATAGCGCGCTCCTTAGAAAAATACGAATTTTAATAATAACATAACTAGTTTAAATATTATAGAACTAGTGTGTGATAGTGGCAGAGCACATGATGGTAGGGATAATTTTTGAATTTATACCGAATTTATGTAGATTTTCTTTAGTTATGTAGTTAAATATTTTATCCATTCGGTATTTTCTCGCTCCCCTTCATAAAAATCTTGTCTCCGCCCTATGATATTTAAAAATATAACAAAGAAAACAAAGTGAATTTTATACTAAAATAAAATAGGGAATTAGAAAAGTTTCTTTGATTTTAAAGGTGATCAAATATAACAAAGACAACAATCTCACCTTTATTTCATATCCTTACATTTCATTTTTACCAAATATATTCTTTGTTTGTGTGTGGTATCATATAAATATAGGTTTGAAAAAAGTAAAAAGGAAATAAATGGATGGAATAAGTTAATTCCATTGTTAATAGAAAAAAGAAATAAGATGAAAAATAAATATTCTCAATTTCAACATGAGCATGAATACATATATTTACTTGTGCAAGTGTGTTTCTATAAATAAGCTGTAATTTCACATCTTGGATTTTGCTATATGTACATCAATAGTTACATAATGAATTACATAATGTCACATGATACTCTAATATTTGTCAGTTTAAAACACACTCAACATTTTCCATCCATCATATTATGTGTACATTTTTTTTTATGTATAAGTAACAAAATCCTTAGATCTTTTCGATTGATGCAATGGTAAAGTGAACGTAAGATTCACATTTCTCTCAAGCTTGATTACTTATATTCTTTCCGAAAGAAACAAATTGGAAAAAGTTACAGGAATTTCTTGCCTTTTCTAATTCTACCAAAGTGGAGCATTATCCTTTTCAACTTTATGCCAATGAGTAATTTACAGGAATTTCATAGAAATTGAAAGCACCCCTTCAGTCTCTATCTTTCTTATCATTTCTCATTTCACTGTCTAGCAGTTATCACTTTTTCATTTCACCTACATGATATTTTTTTTCTTCCCAGGTTTTCTACTTGTGCCGACGCTCGACTTTCATCCCACTATCTGCTTATCAAGGAAAAGAAAGAAAGGATTTGGGGACACAACAAGTTGGATTGGGTACGAGACAGGGCGTGCTCATACGGTCAGATATGATAAACTATTTATGTAGACTCCAAATTTATTGAAAAGAAGGTTTAGTTTGTTGAAAAGATTACAATAACTTTATTTACTTAGGAAACCAAATACATTACATTCTTTTCACCACATACAAATAGTTGCATTTGACAGAAAGCTAAAGCTACATGCTTAGTACTAGTTGAAGTTACTAATCAACTACCACATACACAGATAGCTAGATCTACATAAATAAACTCGGGATGGGATGGGATGGGATGGGTATGATCGTGTCGCGGACCGACCTGCCTGAAGTCACAAGCTCCTATGCCGGAGCTAAGTTTATTCGTCTAATTATTTATAAACTTGGCATGCTCACGCATATAGATTTAAGACACATTCTGATAGGGTTTCAGCAGTAGAACAAGGGAGCCACTTAAGTGGAGGGACATGACTTCATTGGTGGATCCCACCAGTTCTCCGCCAATAAACACCGCCGGCACAGGGCCATTGCAACCCATCCTTAGTAGTGCCTTCTCAATTTCCTTTCCCTCTGGATCACGATCAATTTCATGTTCATAAGGATTTATTCCAAGTTCTTTAAATAACCTGTGTACAGCATAGCATAAGCAGCATGTGCTTTTGCTGAAGATCAATACTCCCTTTTCTGATGCCAATTTTCTTACTCTGTCCATGTGGGATGACTCGATCCGTGTGCTAGATATCTATAAGATTGAATAAAACAAGATTTTTTTAAAAGATTTTTTTGGGATTTTCGAGAACTGGTATCAGATATGTCAAACTATTTATCAGATCATACAGTTCAAAGTTGAATTATATATGATCTGATTTTTGGCTGAATATTGGAGGGAAATGTGAAATTGAGAAGGAAAGAAATTTTGAAACTTGAAGCTTGTTTGAAGAAGAGCTCTCTTGCTAATCTATTTATATAAAACATCAGAGTGTGTGGCTAGTTTTCCAAACAAGAACATTCAAAGGAAGATGGGCTTTTCAAAGATGCCAAAACCTACTAAAGTTACTTTTCAAGATAGATACTCTATTTATACATATATTTTGTTCGAAGTTGAAGTTGAAGTTGATAAACATTGTTGATAATAAAATACGGTATGAGACAAGATCAAAATTCTACCGTTACCTAAATAACACGAAATTGGTTGGAATAATAGCTTATATATTACAAGGTAAGTCTCCTAAGGAAACTAAAAGAAGAGCCTTCAACTTTGGAAAACACATCAAGCAAAAGAAAAGGACTAAAGGAGTATGGAGTTCTTAGGAGAGTAACAACACTCTTTGATTGATTTTTCTAGTTTTCTTGTCGATAGTTTGATGTAGAAAACTCTTTTTCAGAATGATTATTCTTATTGTACATTGGGGTATACATAAGGGTGTCCATAATGGACACTCGACACCCCCCTATTGGATGGAGTGCCGGCCCCACTGGTACTCCATCCAATAAGGAGATGTCGAGTGTCCATTATGGACACCTTTATGTACACCTTGATGTACTTGTAGTAAAGCCCTTTCCAAAACTCCTAATTGTGGGTAATTTTACCATGTCCGAAGACCCAAGTTACATTTATCGAACCTCTTAAATTCTCGTGTTCTTCCATAAAACAGTAAGTGTTATTTTTTATATTCCAATAACAACAGTTGGACAGGGGCGGACCTACATGAGGACCAGTGGGTGCCGCCGGCTCCACTCAATTTTCAGATTTCCCGATATTTCAGATTTTTTTAGTTTTTTTGTCCAGGCTTTTTGTGGGTTTTCAGATATTTTTCCAAGGTTTTTTGGTTTCGTCACCACTGAGTTTCCTTCCTGGGTCCGTCCATGAAGTTGGAACTAGTTTTTCTTCACAAAAAATTCATTTCCCAGGTCAAGAAATGAATCCAGCGACGTGGTAATCTTATGTTTTTAGACGAGATACTTTTAAGAAACACGGATTATTCTTGCTGCTCAAATATGTCAGATCAAGAATAAGTGAATATTTGAGTTGGTTTTCTATACACGTTGCGTGGCTATTTACCATCCAGTGTTCATGAACTTGAAACAAAAGCAGAAATCTTGCAGAATTAAGAGTGGTCAATTTATTCTGCAGATTCTTAATTCCAGTCAGTCTCGAAATATATTCTCTGTGGAAAGATCAAGAATAAGGTGGCTTTCGGTGGCTGTGATTCTTGGTGGGTTGTGCCCACCAACTTGTGCCAATATATACCATACTCTTCTCACCAGTCAGTGTGTGTGTGAATCTCTCTTTGCATCTATGCATATATACTTATACACGTGTGAAACTGGGGTTTGAGGCTTCTATTTTTTCTTTTATTATTATTATTATTTTTTTTTTACTTTTTCTCTTCTCTTTTTGTTTTTATGAAAATAATGAGCACGACTGGAAGCAAATAGATAACTATCAAGGCGTCCTTGATAGTCTCGTGTTTCTCTTTTTTGGATGCCGACACACTCCAAGAGTTCAGGAACAATGTGAGGCCTAGTGTCAAGACTAGTGTACAAGAGAATACCAATGGCGAAAATGCTTTCATAAGTCGACACTGCTCTCAAACAGAAGTTAAGAGCACGAATTGGACTAAAAACCCCGTACGAATTCCTTATGATCAACTGAAATAAGTTCTTGTTAATGAACTCTTTCCTCCACGTGACGTGGGAGGTATTATTTCGTGTTTGTTTGAGAGTGATTATTCGAAGTGAAAAATAATTTTTTTGCGAGAATGCATCGCTAAAAAGTAAGAAAACTATTGAAATAATGTATGGTTGAAAAACGAGTTTGAGGAAAAATTATTTTAAATAAGTTGTGCTAAAAAAAGGCTTAAATCTTAATGTATATATCACACATAATGTCTGATTCAAGATTTTCAAATGAGAGTACGAGAATTTGACGTCAAATCTTATGTATGAATTGATTTTTGATAATTAAGGATATACGAAGTTACAAAAACCAATTAACAAGTAACAACGTAATGATTTATAAGCGACTATTCACGAGAATCATTAGCGATTCTTTTTTATCGATTGAAATGAAATGACATAAAAGTGTAAAGAAGATATTTTAGCAAGATGTACACGAATATCTTGTTTCAATTTGTGTTACCAAAGAAAAACAATCAAGCAATTTGATGCCGGGAATTTTGCAGGGTTTGCTGAACGAGGAGGAGACAATTCGGAGAACAAATGTCAATTCTTGTGGGGGGCTATCTGCTTGTAATTTTCACTTTTTCCTTTTAATTTTCTGATTAACAGTGAAAACCTTCTCGTGTGTTCTTGCAAGAACATATAATATCTAAAATTTTGCTATTTGTACATAAAAAAACAGTCAAAAGAAGTGACTGATAAATGATAGAGTGTCATATAATAATATTATATAAGGCATTATGTAATTATTTATGTACATGTATCATTGTCCTAATATAAATTGTTTACGCCATAAAAGATAGAGCCTCAATTGAGTCGAATAAGTTTTTAGAGATAAGACGTGACATTCTAAGAATAATTGTGTTACGTCACTTTTAAGTTGTAGGGATATAAATTGTTCTACACCCTTACCACACTCCCTCACTCCATTGTATGAGAGTAAATAAATGTCTCGGATTCAAGTATCAGTGCCATCCATTTATATAAAATTCGTACGCAAGTAAAAAATAAATCCTGCCTATGCACAAGGGTGTTCATAGATTCGCCTTCTTTGAAACAATTTAAACTTTTAAATAAAGTAATATTTCTAGATCAACCCACACCCACGCTCCAGCCCTAAAACATCTTAAGGTTGCATTTCATCTCTCGATGTATCATTGATTTTTCTTTTTTGTTTTTGTTTTTCATGTCTATAAATAAATTTATTAAGAGCTTGTTTGGTACAGCTCAAAATTGAATTAAAATTGAACATATAGCCGTTATTGGGTCCCACTTGTCTAATAAAAGTCAATAATAACGATTAGTTTTTCAATTTTAATCCGATTTTAATTTCTACTAAACACGCCCTAAATCTACTCAAGTAGATTCAATATAGATAATTAAATCCACTTAAGTATATTCAATATAGAAACTCAAATTAAGAGTTATCCTTTCTTCTTAATTTCACTTATCTAATTAATTTCTAGAGCAGATTACATCAAATTCTTCTGAGGTTTATGGCATTTTCTCTCTTTTTAAATATTTCATAAACCTTCCATGAGGTTTACATTTTGTTAGTGTCAACTAAAAGTAAATATACCTTTTCCATTTTACCCATTTATTCTATTTTAAAATTGTTATATTATTAACTTTAATCATATATTTTTCCTTTCTTATTTCTTAATATATACTTTTTATTAAGATGAAATCATTTTAGTTAAAATAATACCATTATAAATCTTATTATAAAATGTATAAGATTATTAAATAAGATTTTTTAAATGCAATTGACAAATAATTAACAAATCAACATAAACAAATTTTTTGAGAACAATTTAATAAAGACGGTTGAAATTTTAATATCATTATAATATTGTTATAAAATTTATAAAAAAAAAAATTAAATATGATTTTTTTAAAAATACGATTGACAAATAATTAATGAATTTTAGAATAATTTAATAAAGCTAGTTGAAAATTCATCAAATGTTTTATATTGCTTGATTTAGTAGCATTTTTTTTCTAATTTTTGTATTGTTTGCATCTATATATGCTAAGTTTAGAAAATTAAATTAATATTACCATTATATTTCAAAATGCAAAAAAG